AAGATGCTCCGAGTCTCACTGTGAATATAATTGCCGTGTTAATTACAAGCGCTGATGAGTCAGAGATGTAGCCACTTGGATCCCAAGTGGGTGGAAATCCAAGTTTGAACAAACTTGCCACAGGTGAGAAACCCTACGAGGTTAATTAAGCCTGCTCCACGCAGAAGACATTTTGGACATGGCTACAGCTCGCTAATTACTCACTGTCATTATCCTGGATTAATTCCTTCGGATGGACACTCTGGTCCCAGGCTGAGGAGTCTGAACGTGCCACAGGCAGACACCAGCTTCAGGCCAAGCCCGAGAAGCCGGCGCTGCCCCCGGGTCCTGCCCCGAGGTGGGTCTGTGGACTCGCACCCAGCGGGGCAGAGGCACACAGAGCCCCCGACACCCCGACACCTCCCAGCACTGGTGCGGAGCGGGACAGGGCCGGGTCGTGCTCCCGCTCCCTGGAAATGAAGCGTTAGGGCAAAGCGCAGCCCCAGCGTCCCTCGTCACCGTCTCACCAGCCTCTGTGATTTTCTTCATCACGTTTGGAGTGGGAAGATCCAGGCTGATGCCATCAGCGGAAATTATTTTTCAAAGCATATTTGCAGGTGGAGAGCTGGACCCAAGCACACCCAAGCAGTTTGCAAGGGTTTTTTTTTTTTTCCCTCTTCACCAATCAGCTTCCCTCTCAAAATGCCTTTTTACCCTTCTAAACTTTACTGCCTTGAAGACTTTACTGCGTTTATTGATGGGGAAACTGAGGCAGGGGACAAGAAGCGACGCGCTGCTGCCGGCAGAGCTCAGACCCACCCATCTCCGGCAAAGTCACGCATCCTGGTGAGCATCCCTGCACCGGAGCAAACCCTCCACGAGCCCAGAGGAAAACCAGGTGTTTTCTTCTGGTGGACCAGGAGCCGAACCAGCCAGCCCCAACCTCCGAATCAAACCCATTCTGCCAAGCAGCAAAACGATGTAAATCTAATTTTTACCGCTTTTTCTCCCTCTTCTTTGGACCCTGTACCAACCCCCCGCCCCCCCCCGGCGTGGTACCACGGTGGGGCTTTGGGTCCCGACACAGGACTGCAGGCAGTGATGTGGAGCCTCACTGAGCAGTTTTACAGTAGCTGTGAAATTCCTGAACATCGGGGCTGTAAGGAAAAGCTGGTGGTGAACATTTAGGACAGAGGTTTGGGGGTCTTTTTCCGCTGGGAGGCTTTTGGAGGAGACATGGCAGCTCCCCACCGCTCCTCATCCACAGCGTTGAGTCAACTTCATGCCTGGAAAACCCCATGCCAGGGCTGGGGCTGCCAAATCCCAAAGGAGAATCAGGGAAAAATCATCTACCGGCCCATCTACCGTCCAACTCGTCTTCCAAGCCCAGCAAGAAGGCGCAGTGGAGGTACCCGGGGGGGATCAGAAAGTTTATGAAGCAACCGAGGGGTGATGCTGTGCCTGGACGCGCGGCCATGGGGAGCCCGCCGGGGCAGGAGCCCGCTCGGGAGTTTGTATCGGTGGAGAAAATGTCGCTGCCAAGGCGCAGCGGGCGCTTCCCAGCCTGGCTTATCTGGCTGCAGAGGGACAAGCAGCACAGGAGCTGGGGGAGGAGAGGTTGGTTGGTAGCGATTTGGCCCCAACCTGCGTAAAGCTGCTGGGGATGAGCCCTGGTGCAAGCGCCGCTCACTCCGGCCCCCTGATCCCAAACTGAAATCCAGGTGATGCTTTAAATCACTTCATCTGAGCGTCTGCCTCCCGGCCGGGGGGGAAAGAAATACCCGACAGAGGGTCACAAAACCTGCCTCAAAAAAAGGGGAAAAGCCAAACCCAGCTGACCAAGCTTTCCTACCAGTTTGGTGGTTTAACTCTGTTATTTGCAAAACCCTCTTCACACCGTTCAAGGGGAACATTTTTCTCCCGGACACGGGGCTGTTTCTCACAAACAGGAGAGTGGTGGGTTGCATCCCACTCTGCCACTGCTGGGCTGCGTGGCCTCGGTTGAATCTCTTCATCTTTTACTTTGCTTCCCACCTCTACGGGGTTTTGGGGGGCAAAAGCCTGAGCCTGAATAAACCCTCCTGCCTGCGCAGCCGTGCCGAGGGCGGCGGCGTCCCCCTCTCCGCAGCACAAACCCCGCCTTGAAGGGGCGATGAGGGTCAGAGCGCTGCCCCCCACGTTGCATTTCACAGGACTGTAGGCTCCGGGGGTGGGGGGTCCTGTGCCCCCCGAACCAGCCCTCTTGTCCCTCTGAGATGTCCTAGACCCCCGAAGTAGCTTCCAGTCCCGGGGTGCTGGCAGGACATAGAGAGTGATTGACACTCCGGGCGCTGTTTTGGGGGGACAGATGGGAGCTCTGAGTGCGCCAGCTTGGGAGATCCAAAATCTGCTCCTGGTTTTGCCACGTTCCTCTGGCCTGACCTTGGGAGGTGAACTTAATCCCCGTCATCTCCTCTTGTCTGTGTGTAGCGGGAATAAAAATACTTCCCTGTCTCTCTGGAGAAAGGAGCAGATTCCTGGGAAGTCACCGTAAGCTGATCGGGCAGCCCAGGGCAGCTGGTGGGACGAGCCAGGCGGGGTTTGTGCTGCGGAGAGGGGGACGCCGCCGCCCTCGGCACGGCTGCGCAGGCAGGAGGGTTTATTCAGGCTCAGGCTTTTGCCCCCCAAAACCCCGTAGAGGTGGGAAGCAAAGTAAAAGATGAAGAGATTCAACCGAGGCCACGCAGCCCAGCAGTGGCAGAGTGGGATGCAACCCACCACTCTCCTGTTTGTGAGAAACAGCCCCGTGTCCGGGAGAAAAATGTTCCCCTTGAACGGTGTGAAGAGGGTTTTGCAAATAACAGAGTTAAACCACCAAACTGGTAGGAAAGCTTGGTCAGCTGGGTTTGGCTTTTCCCCTTTTTTTGAGGCAGGTTTTGTGACCCTCTGTCGGGTATTTCTTTCCCCCCCGGCCGGGAGGCAGACGCTCAGATTAAGTGATTTAAAGCATCACCTGGATTTCAGTTTGGGATCAGGGGGCCGGAGTGAGCGGCGCTTGCACCAGGGCTCATCCCCAGCAGCTTTACGCAGGTTGGGGCCAAATCGCTACCAACCAACCTCTCCTCCCCCAGCTCCTGTGCTGCTTGTCCCTCTGCAGCCAGATAAGCCAGGCTGGGAAGCGCCCGCTGCGCCTTGGCAGCGACATTTTCTCCACCGATACAAACTCCCGAGCGGGCTCCTGCCCCGGCGGGCTCCCCATGGCCGCGCGTCCAGGCACAGCATCACCCCTCGGTTGCTTCATAAACTTTCTGATCCCCCCCGGGTACCTCCACTGCGCCTTCTTGCTGGGCTTGGAAGACGAGTTGGACGGTAGATGGGCCGGTAGATGATTTTTCCCTGATTCTCCTTTGGGATTTGGCAGCCCCAGCCCTGGCATGGGGTTTTCCAGGCATGAAGTTGACTCAACGCTGTGGATGAGGAGCGGTGGGGAGCTGCCATGTCTCCTCCAAAAGCCTCCCAGCGGAAAAAGACCCCCAAACCTCTGTCCTAAATGTTCACCACCAGCTTTTCCTTACAGCCCCGATGTTCAGGAATTTCACAGCTACTGTAAAACTGCTCAGTGAGGCTCCACATCACTGCCTGCAGTCCTGTGTCGGGACCCAAAGCCCCACCGTGGTACCACGCCGGGGGGGGGCGGGGGGTTGGTACAGGGTCCAAAGAAGAGGGAGAAAAAGCGGTAAAAATTAGATTTACATCGTTTTGCTGCTTGGCAGAATGGGTTTGATTCGGAGGTTGGGGCTGGCTGGTTCGGCTCCTGGTCCACCAGAAGAAAACACCTGGTTTTCCTCTGGGCTCGTGGAGGGTTTGCTCCGGTGCAGGGATGCTCACCAGGATGCGTGACTTTGCCGGAGATGGGTGGGTCTGAGCTCTGCCGGCAGCAGCGCGTCGCTTCTTGTCCCCTGCCTCAGTTTCCCCATCAATAAACGCAGTAAAGTCTTCAAGGCAGTAAAGTTTAGAAGGGTAAAAAGGCATTTTGAGAGGGAAGCTGATTGGTGAAGAGGGAAAAAAAAAAAAACCCTTGCAAACTGCTTGGGTGTGCTTGGGTCCAGCTCTCCACCTGCAAATATGCTTTGAAAAATAATTTCCGCTGATGGCATCAGCCTGGATCTTCCCACTCCAAACGTGATGAAGAAAATCACAGAGGCTGGTGAGACGGTGATGAGGGACGCTGGGGCTGCGCTTTGCCCTAACGGTTCATTTCCAGGGAGCGGGAGCACGACCCGGCCCTGTCCCGCTCCGCACCAGTGCTGGGAGGTGTCGGGGTGTCGGGGGCTCTGTGTGCCTCTGCCCCGCTGGGTGCGAGTCCACAGACCCACCTCGGGGCAGGACCCGGGGGCAGCGCCGGCTTCTCGGGCTTGGCCTGAAGCTGGTGTCTGCCTGTGGCACGTTCAGACTCCTCAGCCTGGGACCAGAGTGTCCATCCGAAGGAATTAATCCAGGATAATGACAGTGAGTAATTAGCGAGCTGTAGCCATGTCCAAAATGTCTTCTGCGTGGAGCAGGCTTAATTAACCTCATAGGGTTTCTCACCTGTGGCAAGTTTGTTCAAACTTGGATTTCCACCCACTTGGGATCCAAGTGGCTACATCTCTGACTCATCAGCGCTTGTAATTAACACGGCAATTATATTCACAGTGAGACTCGGAGCATCTTAAATTATCCTTCCCTTTTCCCCAATCCCCCTTCTTTTTTTTTTTTTTTTTAAATATTATTATTATTATTATTTTGTGCATTTCATTTCCTTGCCGCCATCTGTTGCGAAATGGCTGTCTTCTTGCTGCGTGCACTTAACACCACCATCTGGACAAATTATTTGTCCCATTAATTGCAAAAA